TAATGTTGGTTTATTTGGTATTACCTGTATACAAGTATGAATTTTTCACCATATCGTGCGTACCTACAGCATTTTATGTAATAATCCAAACAAAACTATTATTTCACGACTCCAAGGTTGCAACTTTATGTTAGATAAACAAATGACTTTGTAATCTATCTACTCAATCTGGTTGTATTGAAAAGAAAAGTATTTGTTAATTCTTTTGTAGGAGACACCATTCATCATGATTCATCGGATTTATGCAATTTCAGCTTTCTTTGGTATCTCTTTTTATCTGAAATTATTAGTGATAATTTATTTTTATGGATAACGACCGCTGATGATTAATAGGGTGTGAATAACTGGGAATCCGTCTTCTTCAGGGCTATAATATTAAAATGAATATAAAATAAATAAAAAATTCAATAAAAATTATTATAAAACATTTTTACTAAGTATGCCTTGCAGTGAGTTTATGATACAATGTTGTTTTTACGTATTTCACCATTGATACTGTGACGGCTCTGGGGTGCGTGACAATAATCTTGGGTTCGTTTATTCCAAAATCAAAGTCCAATTAACACAACAATAATTTATTCCACGGTACTACACACTCTGACAATAATTACTTCACTAATTTAATTAACTCAAACAACTTAACTCTTTACAACTCTTAACAATAATCACTATCTAATAAACGTATCACAGCCCAATCTTAAACTTAAAAACTACTAACTAATACAAGCCTTTATATATCCGCAATCTATTCGTGTAGGATCCAGAATAACGCGATAGACCTTTTTCCCGAAGAGCAACGTAAAATCTAGAATCAGTTGTCCAATTCTGTACACCGTGGCGGAAGCACCACTTTCTGTGACACTGCGTTCGTAAGGTTGATCGTCCCGATCAACTTCGCGCCCATGATATTTCGTCAATCTGTCCAAATGTACAACTTTCATCTTACTCCTGGTGTTGCGCTTAACTCGATAAACCAAATCATCAATCCTCATGATTATTCTGTAGGGTCCTACCTATGCTGAAGACAATTTTGGCGAAACTTCTTTCTTTCTTGTTGGATTATACAGCCACACCAAATCACCTTCTTGAAATCCGGCTAAATTGGCTTACAAGTCGTATCTGGTCTTCATGCGGTCACTGGCCAGATGAATATGCTCCCGAACAATTACATCGTCGGCATAATCTCGGAATTTCTTTTCGTTCTTCTTCAGGTATTCTAAACATCAGATCGCAAGGTAACCTGAGTTCCCTTCCAAAAACGATTCTAGCTGGACTTTCACCTGTTGACTCTGGAACAGCTGCTCTGTAAGCCATTAAAAATAGAGGCAATTGTTTGTCCCAACCTCGCTGGTTCTTCGCGACCACTTTTGTCAGGTGTTTCTCTATGGTCTTATTAAATCGTTCTACCATGTCATCAGACTGTGGATGTAGAGGTGTTGTCCTGGTCTTATGAATGCCCATGATCTCACAAATCTTCTTAATGATGGTAGATTCGAAGTTTCGTCCCTGATCTGAATTCAACTGTAATGGCACACCATGACGACTGAAAACTTCTTTGGCAATAGTGATGGCTTCTTGATTGAGAATAGCGAAAACTTCTGGCCATTTACCGAAGTAATCCATGATAACCAGGATGTATTTGTTACCACACTCTGACTCAGGGAACGGTCTGGCAACATATGTCGCTATTCGTTCAAATGGGAGACCGACGTTGTACTGTTTCATGGGCCCCCGATCTTAGTTTAGGGCCTTTACTAGTAGTTAATTTCACAAAGTGGCGTATCTCAAATAAAACCCTGATTTGAGATACGTCACTTTGTGAAATTAACGAAGAAATGTCGCATTTTCGGCACCAGTTTTTAACGTCTTCATGATAGTGGACCCAGTAAAAACGTTCCCGAATTTTGTCCAAAGTCTTGTTAACTCCAAAATGTGCCCCTGAAGCTCCGTCATGTATTTCTTTTATTACATCTACTCGATCTTCTGGAATAACCAGTTGGCTCTTAGTAGATTTTCCATCGGCACTTCCTCAAATTCTTTTCAGTAACCCATTTTCTACGGCCAGAGAGTTCCACTCACCCCACAACTCTTGTTCGACACTTCCCTCCATTCTGGCCTACATTCATCATTTTCTTTAAGATGTAGAAATTGCCCAATGTCCTGGTGTGCTTCTTGATCTGCTCTCATTTGTTTGGTAGTCGATTTATCATCAACGATAAGACCCGTTCTTCTCACACCTGGACCAATGTTTTTCTCATACATATCGATTCTTCGACAATGCTTGCAGTCTTCTTTACATGGCCGTCTAGCTCAGTCAGCATTTTGATGGAAGTTTCCAGGTCGATGTTTAATTTGGAAATCGTATTGCTGCAATTTCTCAATCCATCTAGCAAGCTGTCCTTCGGGAGTTTTCATTCCTAAAAACCATTTTAGAACTGCGTGATCCTTTCGAATTAGAAACTTACGTCCGTAGAGATACTTATGGAAATGATCGACTGCTTTTACTTTGGCAAGCAATTCTCTTCTGGGTGACACAATAATTTCGTTCCGGCTTTGATAAGGTTCTGCTATAGTACTCTACGACATGCTCTTGTGAATTTTGGATTTGTGAAAGGACAGCTCCAATACTGGTGTTGCTTGCATCTGTGTCCAAAATCAACATGCCTTTCTGATCAGGATAGGACAACACCGGGCTTGTACTTAATGCAATTGAATGTTGATTTTTCTTCCGTTGATCGATGAAGCGGAGCAGCTATATTAGCGAATCCTTCTACAAATCTTCGAAAATAAGAACATAATCCTAGAAAACTCTTTAGTTCATGTTTGTCGCGTGGCTTTGGCCAATCCCTGACAGCATCTATTTTTCCTTCCATAACTTGTATGCCATCTTCAGATACCACGCGACCTAAGAATTCCACTTTCTTTTGAGATAGAAAACACTTATTTGGATTGAGTTGTAAGTTGACATTCCGGAAGCGGTCAAAAACTTCTTTTAGAGGTTATTGCGATGTTCTTGAAACGAATTTCCCATGATCATGACATCATCTAAACATACCAGGCAAGTTCTCCATGTAAGGCCTCGCAAAACAAGATGCATCAGTCGCTCAAACGTACTCGAAGCATTATACAATCCGAAAAGCATTACGTTAAACTGGTATAACCCGCTTCCGATACTGAAGGCAGTTTTCTCTTTGTCACCTTTGTGTATTGCCACTTGCCAGTATCCACTTTTGAAATCCAAGGTGGAAAACCATTTGGAGCCCGATACAGTTGTTAATGTATCGTCTATCCTCGGAAGAGGAAAGTTGTTCTTCTTGGTGACGTCATTACGCTTACGGTAGTCCATACAAAAGACTTCCATCTTTTTTCGTAACCAGTACTACTGGCGCAGACCATGAACTATTTGATTCTTCAATAATTCCCTCTTGAAGCATTTTATCAATTTGGTTTTCCACTTCCTGTTGTTTAGCTACTGGCATACGTCGAGGTGGTTGTCTAATTGGGTGTGCCAATCCAGTATCAATTTTGTGTTGAATTAAACTGGTCCATCCGGTCTGATTAACCATCACAAATACGTCTGCTTCTTTCAAGATGAAATCTGTGGCTTCCTGAAGTCTATCTGGATCGAGGTGTTTCCATGATTTCTCCAAAGTCTGCATCAAGGTCTGTATCCAATTTCGATTTTTCAAAAGTCGCTTATCTGTTAGGTCACAGTTCGATATTTACTAAACTGGTTCAAGAGTTCCAATAATATCTCCTTCTTTTATTTTCACTGTTTCAAAAGAAACATTCGCAATTCTTATCATAATGTCTCATTTGTTCTTACTAGAGTCTTTCCAATAAAATTATATGTTAGTCCAACGCAGCACCCAGGGTTTTTTTCCAATTTTCCGCAAATGATCTTCTCAGTACTTTCAGGAATCCTCACTGGGTTTGCGGCCAGGATCTTAACGGCTTGAGTTAGAACAAATTCTTTATTACCAAATTTAAGGATGTTCATAGAAGGATCGAAAGAGAAAACGTGTTGGCCGATCAAATCTATTCCCAAAATAAAATTATCCTCTTGTTCTGTGCCTAAAGGTGGTCGATCCAAAAGTAAGCTCAACCATAGCTTCTCCTTGAAGAATCGGTTGAGTCACTTTTTGTGATTGTCACTGCTTGCAGTGACTAACTCTCTCCCCACACTATTTTGCAATCGAATTTCACTTCCCAGTCCTCGAATTATATTCCACTTCTGACAGCAATGTCACGGCTCTTGCTTGCGTGACAGAAATCTTGGGTTCGTTTATTCAAAAATCAAATTCCAATTAACACAAAAATAATTTATTCCACGTTACTATACACTCTGACACTAGAAACTTCACTAATTAACTCAAACAACTTAACTCTTTACAACTTTACAATATTCACTATCCAGATCGTATCACAGTCAATCCAAAAACTACTAATACCGGCTTTTATACGTATATCTGTGATCCATTCTTCTAAAATCCAGAATAAACGCGATAATCTCTTTGCCCGAATAAAGCATTATTTTCTAGATTTCAAGTTAGATTCTGTACTGTTTGGCGAAGGCGCCATCATGACAATATCCTGAAGAAGGAGCAAAAAGCTCCAAAAGCTTGGCCTTGTAGAAAAAGTAAATAAAAAACTATTGATTGACCGATTCCTAGTTATTCACAACCCTATGAGTGATAATCTGATAATGATAGATACAAGATAGTTTTTGGTGTTTGTCTGTTCCAAAATTCTTTCGAGTTAAGTTGAGTTGGGAGTTCCGTTCATGTTTTTTTTTTGTCAAAACTGCTTGCTTGCCATAAATGTTATTCACGACCTTGCCTAAATGCAAACTCGCATAAAAATCGGAACATGCTAAATTTTCTCTCCCATTATTCAAACAATTAGTTCCGAACAATAACATGACTAATAGTAAGTAAACATTGGGTGAGGTGCTGAATATTATTTCAATTTAAATTTTAAACGAATTATTTTTGTTCTAGGATGAATTGGCACGTATTCGTTCCGAAAACCAACATTTAAATCAGAAATTAAACGCGAAAGACACTGCCAAACTGAATACAATAAATGGCAACTACATTCAAGCGGTACAACAACCGAATCGCACAAGATCGCAGAGTTTTTCATACATCGATAGCTTCGATGATGATTTAAAAAAAGTGCCGCCCCCTCCGCCTCCACGTAAAGACTTTGGGGTGATGTGTGGAGTGTTGACTAGAAACATTGGTGTCGGTCATCAGAACCCCAACACAAAACACGCTTCGACAATAACAAATGAGGTTGCTGATAAATGGTGGTTGCCTGATAGATCCAAGGTATTTGGTCTTCAGAAACCCAACACAAAACACGCTTCGACAATAACAAGTGATAGATGGTTGCCTGACAAAACAAAGTTTTTTAAGGCGCCGCCTTTGATAAGCCCGAAGCCCAAGATAACTGTTACAAAAGGCACTCAAACGCTTCTGGTCAAAGAAAAGAGAGATATGGGAATACAGACTTCAATTTTGGAGCCCAAAAAAGTACCTGCATATACGCAAACAGATAAAATTTTAAAGCCTCTAGTAGTTCATACTGGCTCTTTAGCAGTTGCAAAGACAACAGAAATGGGAGTTCAGAAAAACGTAGAATGTTATTCTGTTGGTAGTTCAGATGACACAATTGATAATGTGATTTGCGAAAACTGTAACGCTTCAAAACGGTCAGTAGGTGTAGGTCCTGAAAACACTGAAGATATTCATACTTCACCAGTATCTTTAGCAGCTTTAAGCAATGGAAGTGATTCATTCAATTTAGGAGAGGATAGACTTGATCTGCAAAAAAAAACACGCACTATAGCCTCTCAGTATGAAAACAATTCAGTGAGCAAATCTTTACAAGTTGAAGTCAAAACTTCCTCAAAGTCTACGCAACACGAAATCAAATTGACAGAAAAAAACACCCAGTATGAAAACAATTCAGTAAGCAAAAATACCGACACCAAAGACCTTCAAACGCCTACAAAATCAATTGGTTGCGAAGCCAAGGAGGAACGACCAAAAACTGCAGAAAAGGGCAGCAGTACTATAATCGAAGAAAAAGAAGTTTCTGAAGAGAAAATATGTGCCAAATGTGACAGCAAAGAAATGGAAACGTCAAGGGAATTAAAAAAGGATGGCCCTGGAAGTCCAAATCCTAGTAGGATACCTGTACCTACAACTCCAATAGAAGCCAGGAAGTTTAGGAGACAGGATACTTATACAAAAATTTATTCCACATCTCCTACCGATAAATCTCCTTTAGAAACTTATAAGTAAGTATAATCACATTTAAATAATATTTATATTGTTGGTTTATCATAGTGGTTGAATCAGTTCTATTGTCACTTGAATAAAACCATTGATCAAGCAAGAATAATCTGAGGTCCCTGATTTCAAACTACTAATTTTAAAATGGAGATTTTTTTTACCATCAGAGTTGCATGAGTCAGTTTTCCAAATTTCTCAACTAACCCTTGTAACGGCTGAATGAAAGGGAAGTTTAGGAGCAATGTACAGTTAGGCTCGCGCCGGCGCGCATATTAAATCATTATCGAAGGGCAGAATTTTTTTTCCCTGAGGGACAAAACAATGCGTTTGGTCTTGTAGACGAAAGGGCGCTTCTTGCTGCTTTTTTCTTTGCCATGATCTGAAGTATTTTGCAGCGCTTTTTCCGAATGTTAACCCCCAAGCAGAATTTTAATCAGAATGCGCATTGCTCTTATATGCATCAACATATCCTTTTAACTAGGTAAATAACTTGTCTTTGGTATCATTGTAACATATTAGGTATTTCGAACTATAAAAACAATTTCAGGATTATTAATTTAGACTTGGTTTTGGTCATTGATATATTATTCTTCTTTAGGGCTTAGCATGTTTTTTTTTTTTAATTTATATAATCCAACTTAAAAATTTGCGCAAAATGAATGAAATTACATTGATAGATACAGAGTAATAATGAAAATTTAAATAACTTAGGTAATTAATTTATTAGTTTCTGTTTCTAAGTTTAAAAAAAGGACACTCAAAAAAGATTTAGCTTCAGAAATTTCCACAGAGAAAACTTAATTTCCACGATTATGTTCACTATTATTTTTCGAAATTCTGCAAGAATGTTATTTGTTGAAAATTGCTGGTTAATATTAATTAATCCTTTGTGTATTTTTTTTAGATTGTCAGGATTAGATCTGTCGCCTAAAGCCATATCAACAGAGTCAATCAGCCCGTTCGATAAAGTTAAACAAAATCTTCGTCTTGATGCCTCTGCAAGCGCTTCCAATTCCAAATCGCAAAATGGCGTTAATTTAGCTCCGATAACGAAAGTTCAAATACAAGAAACAATACTGCCAGTGTCTGAGTCTACAATATTTCAAACACCTGCTCAAAATAGGAAAAAGTAAGAAAAAATCAAATATATTTTAAACAGAGAAATTTACAATGTGGTCAATTTTAGCATATAAGAAATACCTATTATTGTAACATTTTTGCTACTACTCAAATTGCTATGGTCTTTTTTTTTTGACAATAAATTATACAATCTGGGTCAGAAGTGCCTCGACGCGCCTCCATCTTCAAATTAAAATAATCATATATTTTTTAGGGCCACTCCTAGTAAAGAAATGCAAGGTGCCATGAAAGTACTCAATGATTCTCTTCACAAAAGCCCGACAAAAGCATTACAAAACCACAGCGCAATAAATATAGTTACACAAGAATGGTTCAAAATTTCTAGTTTGCTCACAGCAAATCCGTTGGACGTGGAAGACTACCTAGACGCTCTAGAAGACGTATCTTCTCTACTTCTTCAGTATGTTGTCAACATGACCGACGCTAGTGGCAACACGGCCATGCATTACGCAGTGTCCCATGGAAATTTTGACGTTGTATCCATATTGTTGGATTCAAAAGTTTGTGACATTAACAAACCAAATAAAGCAGGTTATACTAGTGTTATGTTGGTATCATTGGCAGCAGTCATGAGCCAAACTCATGCCAATGTGGTTAGAAGATTGTTCCAGTTGGCCGATGTTAATATTCGAGCTTCGCAGGTAATGAAACTAATTTGTTTGATATTTTTATTTCTCATATTTACTAGAGCAAAAAGTAATATATTAAACTGGGTAAGATAAGTTCTGAACAAAATACACAATAACTGTATCCATAATCCGATATCACTTACACATTTTTTTTAAATTTCATTTCAAAGATTAATCACTCAAATGACAAACTGCAAATTTAATTAAATGTTTTTGAAAAAAAAAATCTTTTAGCATGGCCAAACAGCATTAATGTTAGCAGTAAGCCATGGTCGTCTTGACATGGTAAAAATGCTTTTAGAAGCAGGTGCTGACATCAATATTCAGGATGAAGATGGCAGCACTGCTCTAATGTGTGCTGCCGAACATGGACACATCGAGATTGTTAAGCATTTTTTGAGCCAGCCGGATTGTGACTCTAGTATTACTGATGTGGTAAGAGTTTGTCAATTTATTTTTTTTATAAGGCCTTATTCACACTTATTTTGTTAAAGGATGGTAGCACACCACTGAAAATAGCAATGGAAGCAGGACACAGACAAATAGGAGTGCTTCTCTATGCTCACGAACGAAATTTCCAGAAAGCTCACCCAAATAAACTTAAAAAGACTAAATCTAACAGCCCAAAAACCCCTTCTTCCCCACTTCCTATTAGAAGTAGTCACCGTGCCTTAACTGATACAAAGAAATAACTATTTACCTTTACGGGAAAAAATTATCCTTAATACACAAAGTATAAAATTTATATTGAAGTATTAAATATTAGATGAAAAATGTTTTTAGAAGTGTTTGTTGAAATTTAGAAACTTACTTTTGATAATAGGTAGGTGGCAATAATTTCATAGACGAAAAGGTAACTTTTCTGATCTTTGGCAGCTATTTTTGAAATTTGAAGTTTTATAATGACAGGCATTACGTTTTGTCTTGAAAAAAAATTGAAATGAATTTAGGCACATGATTTCGTCCAAATTAGGTTTAAAAATGTTTCTCGTTAATTATATTTATTCTTTTATCAATATGTATAACATTGTGTATTAATGTTATTTCTGTTTTTTTTTTAAATTATATTTAGTGTGTCAATATATTATATTTCGTTACTTAATTATTGTTAATTGTTATCATGGAACATTGAGAAGTTGATTGTAAAAAACCAAAACCAATTTTTTGTAGTGTTTCGTATATACCCATTTACTAATTACCAGAAACTAATTACCTACCTGTAATTTCAGTAAAAACAAATGTTTCCCATGTACACATAACAAAATAATCAATAAAATAATCAATAAGAATCTGTATCCTAACATTCCATTATTTTATTTAAGTTTTTACTATAATTTATATAATATAATGTATTTTTCTGTCGATAATAAAATTGTATTTTAGAATGTAATATTCAAATATTGTTTTTCTTTACTGTCACAAACCTAAATTTAAAAACAGAGCACTGAGATAAAGTTCACACACTCAAATGCAATAAAGTCATGCAAGAACGAAAAATTCATTTCTGGACATTCAATGAACGAAAAAGTTATAGAAACTTCACCTTATCGTTTCTTGTGCATTCATAATAAGATCTCTTTGTTTTATTTCCAAGGAAAGGAGTGATAAGAATGCATTATTTATTAACGTCTAACTTACCTCCTATTGTTACTTAGGGCAGAGAAAAAGAAATCGGGATTCCATTCACTGTTCTGGAAGCGTACCATTCTCTGCAGCTCCAGATACGAACAAAATTTAAATTAAACGACGAAAAATAGTTGTCAACTGAATTTATTAAAAAAAAAATATTGAAAAGTATATAATAAGGATTCATTAAAACAAATTACAATTAATTTTAAATTATTAATGACCAAACATATAAGAAAAAAACAAAAGACAAGTGAAATTATAAGAAACTAAAGTCCATATATCTCAAATCTTAACATTAGGTACCTACTGTGCAAAACTAGTTTTAATTCTTAAAAATAAATTGGACTAATTATTAGTACACAATTAATACCTACATACAAATGATATGCTTAACACTAGGGTGCATGACATTTGCAAAAAATGCAGTGAAGGAAAGTGCAGGAGTTGGTACAGTTCGGTTTTACACAAAAGTACAAAAAAAAACAAAAGGAAAGTATAAAAAATAAAAAACACGTTCCATAATTATTAGGTCTTATAAATAAATGGGAGTAGCAATAATTATTAGCCATTGGCACGATAGAATTATATTAAAATTATATTCTTAACACAATGACGCGTGACATTTACAAAAAATTGTATTCTCAACACTAGGGCGCATGACATTCACAAAAAATACAGTAACGGACAGTGCTCCAGTCGGTACAGTTCTGTTTCACAGAAGCGTAAAAAACCAATGTTATTGATTTCACAACCCTATGCAGCAAAATAGAAGTAGCAACTCAACTCGGTAAGATATACATATATTATAACAATACATCTAGGGCCAAATAAACGGTAAATATAATAGGAGATGTAAATGGTATAAACAGTAAATAGGTATGTGTATCCCGAATCTGATACTTCATTAACAAAAGAAAGATAAAAAAATGAAAATGGGTGGGTTGAGTACCTAGATGGGTCAAGATTCTGAGGGAAAAATTTTTACCTGTTTAAATCAATTTATTATGTATTATCATTCCAAAAATCAATATCAAAGACCAAGTTACTTACATTTTTAAATACAGGTGTACCTACGTCTTCTTCTTGAAATTCAAAATCTTTTAATTCTGAAGTTAAATTCTCATTAGGAAGTGAATGACTGTCCAGCTTAATGTTTTCTTCATCACAATTGAAATCTACAAATTGTGAATTAAAAGGCTCGGTAGGAATTATATTACCAACAAAATCCATCACTTCTATTGTACTTTCTTTTGCATCAGTAATTAATGATGCAGCAGGTGTTTGTTGAGATTTTTCTGGTGGAGGCAATGGAATTTCCTGAGTTGGTAGTGGCCAGGGACGCCAGACTGTAAAGGTAGGAATGAAGGACATCACCTTAAAAAAAAAATGACTTCCTTCCACCAATAAATTGTAAAAATTCTTACCTTATTGCCATCTGTTTTATAGGTATTTCGGCAACCTTTACATTGACAGTCTTTACAGGATTTGGATTCAACATAACATGGACACTTCTGTCCGCAACAAGTTAATTTTCCAGGAGTTGGAGTAAAATTACCACAGCGACATCCTTTTTTCAATTTTACACATGGTTTTTTAAATGTAGCCTATAAATACCAATAATTAAAATTGACAATACATATACATACACAGAGCTCAGAAAAATGAAAAATATTCTATGGGATTTTGAATGGTGTAATAACATAACTCTTTCCCACATTCATTCGTTATCTGGTCTACTGGTAAAGGAATGAGAGTTTATAGATGTTTGATGTCTGAAATTATGAAACTTTCCCTCAAACCCCGGCATGTGAAAATAACAACTAAATCTCCACAAAATACTAGGCAGGCGGATTTATGGTTCCAGTAGCTGAAGCTGGAGCAATGAGATACTATAGCCAGTAGCTAGAATCAAGTTAGTTGAACCGTGTAGACTTGATCAAGTACTTAAGCAAGTAAACTCTTTAGTCAGTATGTGAAAATAAGTAGGGAGTACAAATCAATGGAGGAAAAAAAAAGTAATTTGTAACACAGACTTTTTAACATGAGTGTATTTCAATGGTAAAACGTAACAAGATAGTTTTCTTGCTGCAAAATTTTGACATTTCAAAAAATGCTTGTGCAAACAAATTTTTTTATTTTTGTATTGAAGTCTGATTTCTTGAGGTAATTTCGCTTTTTTGATGAAACCACTACTCTGTTCTCAATCGCGAAATTCCCAAGAACCAGACTTTCATTCCAATTGGAAACTCTTGTTGGTGAAACTTTTACTCTTGTGATATAAAGTATGTCTGATAAATCAACAACACAAAAAAAAAAATTATGATACTTTGTGGAAGATAATTTAAAACAAAGAAAAGAAATACAAACAGAAAATATTGACATCCAAATTCAAGTACAGTAGAAATCATTGCAATTTGTATATACTATACTCTTTTAACATTCCTAGTATCAAGTCAAAATTCACGACTGATTTATCAATCTGAGACGATTTTGACATAACCTGTGTGTCAAAGAAGTAAAATTTTGAAACATTATAGGGGATGTCTATATAGTGTGTGCCAATTACAATACTTCTCACTGTACCTCAGGTATACGCAAGTATGTATCAAAATTAGAGTAGACATAGAATGTCATAATTGAAAAAGTATGTCTTATGTGAAATACTTTAAAGAAATATCATAATTACCTTTCCTGTAGCTTCCTTTGCTGTCACCAGATCAATGGCTGCTGATGTGCTCAAATAAAATAGAACAAGAACATCTGGAGGAGAGGAGATGAAACAATCTTTGAACTAATATTTGTACTTTCCTTTGGTTTTCTTTTTATAGTAATTTTATTTCCAGATCCAGGATTCACTGAATATGAATTTTGGGTAGAGTTTGTACATGGTAAATGAATATTATGACTTTTTTATCTTTAGTTATCTTTAAGCATTGCTCCCTTTTGTATGAGCTGAGTCAAATTACTCGTCCCACTTTCATATCCTGTACCCCCTGTACTATTATACAATTTTCTTCAAAGCGATGAAAAACATTTTCAAACCGTTGTTGTAAGAAGCAGGTTGTCTATGATAAATCGATAAATCCATCGTCTGAACCAATATGTAGAACGGTGTCCTATTCTTGTAAGATTCATCCTGTAGGTAGGCCATCTACGAAAGCTTGCCTAGCCGTAGAAACGGTTTCCTGCATTGATCCAAGTTTCGTCCAGGCAGTAAATCTTTTTTCCACTCTCCCTTGCTCTTCAGATGCTAATTAAACAGCGTCGTCTCCAATTCACAATTTAATTTCCTTTTTTTATCAGCGGAAGTCCAGTTCTCTCAGCAATTCCTTAAAAGAGGACTTTTAAAAATTAGGAATTGTCTCAATGTTGTCCAAAACAGATCATTTCATCTCGGAAGCTTGGGCTGGCATCAGTTCATGCCCGTTTTCGTATTCTCGAAGTATGTTGTTAACCTAATTCAGTTGGAAAATTGACTTTTTCCTGTTTGGTCCAATCTGGATGATTTCGGTCACAAGCCTTGAAGCTATACAGAATAGTCCCCTCTTCATATACTGAGAAATGTTGTACAGCTCGCTTTTTGATGGAGATGAATCCATGCTTCCAAACAATTGAAATTGGAATAAGAGGAATAAAATGTTTAAAAATACCGCTATATAAATCGCACCACTACCACAAACAAACAACAGTAGTTTAGTGCGCGCCCCTAAGAAAATTCTATACACTCCTGGCAAGTCAACATCCTACAGGCAAATTTTAATGCAATAGAATGAAATGTCTAGAGAAAGTCTAAGGTTGAATAGAGAACGAAAACGATTTTCCCTGTTCCACCTCTAGCATTCCCAGCACTTTATGCTGGAGGTGAAACAGGGGAAATCATTTTTGTTCTCTATTTAACCTTAAACTTTTTCTAGACATTTTATTCTATCGCATTAAAATTGGCATGAAAGATGTTTACTTGCCAGGAGTGTATACATGAGAGGTTGCTGGTCGATGTATAGGGGGCAGGTCAGAGATAATCGTATAACTACAACTGGGTGTGGAGCCGATTTCCCCAAATACAAAAATCTAAAAAAATTGTTTTATTTTAAATTTAAATTTTCTTTTATCTCTATTATAAAATCAACAAACAACAAATCAAGGAACTTTATTTGTTGAATGTCTGTGTCAATGTCAACGTTCTCATTAAGGCCGTTCGTGTGTATTTGTGTGAATTTGTTGATATTTTAATTGTTTCTGCCAGTTTCACTGGGACTTCTTACTGATTGATGTCTTTGGATGTAATGTTGAATAGTCTGTACAAGACTTTGTATATAATAATAAATAAGACGTTTATTAAGGAAAATAAATTTGCACAAAGAAGTAATAAGAAAGTAATTATATATCTACTAATAAACGTTCGTGTGTCCTGCCGAAATAAGCACAAAAGTGTGTCCATTTGTTTGGCAGTTTCTTTCACTGATTCACTAGATGTTCATCAATATCTGTTCATTTTTTGATTAACGAAGTCACCCATATAAGCTCGCGAAACAACTTTTAAAATCCATTCACTAAGCTTTTTCTTAAAACTACACAATACTCTTATAGATTTCAATTCCCTTGTTAATATGTTAAATAACCGTGGTGTCAGATATTGATAGCTTCTTTGACCACAAGCCTTTTTGACTCTAGGCACAACAACATTATCAATCGATCTCGTATTATAATTATTAGTACCTGCATTTGATAAACATTCAGTGGGATTTTTGAATGATCTTAAAAGCATGCGGAAACAAAAAAGCTGTCTTACATCCATAATATTACTTATTTTATATAATGCATCTGTTGGAAACAGTCTGTGTTTACCAAATATTATTTTTAAGGTCCATTTTTGGATAATATCTAAACTTTTAATGTGGCAATCTAAAACACCTCCCCAACCAATAATTCCATATGTAATATGTGTTTGTACAAGTGAAAAATATAATATTCTTAGTTGGTCAATTTTAAGGAAATCCCCAAGATACTTAAGTTTAGGTAGTATTCCTCTAATTTTTTTGACAACATAGTTTACATGAGCATCCCAACGCAAAGCAGTATCTAAAACTATTCCCAAATATTTAATGGTTTTTGTAGCAGGAATTACAAAATTGTCGATTTTTAGACCATTGGCATTTTCCTCTGACTGTTCCTGATTAGAGAACAACTTACACTTGGTTTTCGAGAAATTTACTGTTAGCAGATTTTGATCAAACCAATTTTTTATTTTACAAAACTCTCGTTCTGCTTGTTGTTTGACATCCTCCCAATTCTTACCATCAAATAAAATTACCGTATCATCTGCGAAACTAAGTATCTGTCCGGCCATCTTCACTCCTAGCAATCCGTTGATGTAAAGAATGAAGAGAATCGGACCTAATACCGTCCCTTGTGGAACACCGTATCGCACACTACCGGGAGCACTAAGCTTACTTCCAATTTTTGTATACTGAACATCTTTCATGTTGAGGGAATTACCTTAGGGGCAGATACTGTTGCCAGTCAAAAAATCGAGTAAGTTTTTAGGAGTATACATAGACGATAGACTAAAATTTGAGCCTCACTTAACATACATGAGCAAAAAAGGTGTCATCAGGATGTTATGCAATCAGAGTAATATCGAGTAAGCTAGATCTTGGGACAACAAAAAGTGCATACTTTGCTCTCGTTGAATCCCATTTGCGGTATGGAATATGTTTCTGGGGTTTTTGTTCATTGTCTCTCTTTAATATGTTGTTTGTGTTGCAAAAGAGGGCGGTAAGGTATATGTTTAAGATAGGATTACGAGACTCATGTAGACCATTGTTTTTGCGTCATAAATTGCTTACATTTCCTAGTATTTTTTTACTAGAGACTTCATGTCTCGTTCATAAAAAGTTTAAGGAAAACATACACGAATTTTCATCTGTACATACCACTCGACAAACACACAATGTGAACCTTCCTATCCCTTCCTCCACACAAACAAAAAACTCGATAATCTATCAAAGTAAAAAGATCTTTAACCATTTGCCACTGCATCTGAGACAGATAGTATCTGGTAAAAAATTTAGAGTACATCTTAAGAGGCTTCTATTATCAAAGGCCTACTATAGCACAGAAGAATTTTTCCAAGATGCTTTCTTGTGACTGTCTGAATATAATTTGTAGTTTTATTCAATGACTTCTATGTCTGTTGACTTTACGTTTGTGCAATTTTGATATTTTGTATTTTATATTTTAGAATGAACATGTTTTTGTATTTATGTTGATTTATGTTTATATTTATGTTGATTTTTAAAGTGACTTCATCTTTTGTTTTAATGACTGTTTAAATGATTTTATTGTTTTAGTCTGACCTTGTATTGTATTTTTATTTTGATTATTTCAATCTTGGTACTCTATGGCCCTGGAATTATTTTTGTATAATGTTTTTTTTTTTTCCCCTTTTACAGCTTTGTCAACGAGAATTTTGTTCTTAGACAATAAAGCATTTTTTGACTTTGACTTTAAATAACTTTTAATTAAATCATATGTTTTACCTCTTAAACCATATTTCCAAATTTTTTCCAGTAATAGTTTATGCGACACGGTGTCAAATGCTTTTGCCAAATCGACAAAGATACACAATGCTGGCCTGCTTTCATCAAGATTTTTATAGATTTGCGATGTGAGTCCAGCAATTGCGTCCTCCGTCGATCGGCCTTCCATGAACCCATATTGATGATCAGATATTATATTATATTTTTTTAGAAATTTTATAACTCTATATTTTATTACTTTTTCAAAAATTTTACTAATGTAATATGTCTATATACCTTCTTGTGCTGCAAAGGACTGTGTGTTGGACAAAAAACTGACTCATAAACGTTTGAAAGAATCAAATTCTGCTGCAGATTATGAAGAATTTTTTAGGTCAAGAGTGTTGTCTAAACGTCTTGAAGGTGACAGTTTTGAATTCTATATTCAGACAACTGAGCAGTCTTTTTTTATAGGTAATAAAAGTAAATCAAACAATTATCTGTATGGAAATAGATAAATCTGCTCTGGACAGAACATTGTGAACATGTTGACAGACAATTTTGCAATTGTTTATTCTCTCGAACTTCCTGGTTTGATAAACCGATTGACCGTCCTGTAGCCAAGGATATGACAATATGCTCAGTATATTAAACAGCAGGACCACGTTCATGAATGCATGCCCTAGGGTCAGAGTTATACCCGGGGTGACCCAAAAGCGCTTAAAAACTGCTAAGGTAAAATCGAGGGTAAAATAAATGAGGTCATACGTGCGTGATCATAAATATAAATTTATTTTGCGATCACTCCGGGTGTTCTAAAATCAGAAGTATAGTGAAAATCACTTGACATGTGCAACCAATATTCACCATTTTGAATGAGCCCAAAAAACACAGAGTGTGATATTCGGTAGTTAGAATTGTAACATTGTGCTATATAAAGATAAGAGTCATACCTACATATTATATTTCCCAACATTGCTTCAAAGAGATTTAATTATACAATTTAAGAAAAATTGGCACATTATTGTTGGACATTTGATTACCCAAATTCAGAAACTATTGGGCGATAACATAGACCAAGTTACTTACATTATTACATGCAGTTATACTTTCTAAGTCTTCATCCTGACGTTTAAATTCTTCCAATTGTGAATTGAAATTCTCAGTAGGCAATAAATGAGTCTCTAGCTGGGTGTTTTCCTCATCACATTTATAACCTTTAAATAGTGAATTGAAAGGCTCAGTAGAAATTAAATTAGGATCAAAACTCATCACTGGTATTGTACTTTCTTTTGCACCAGAAAGTAATGATGCAGAAGGTGTTTGTTGAAATATTTGTGGTGGAGGCAATGGAATGTCTGGAGTTGGTAGTAGTGGCCTGGGACACCTGGCTAGTTTTAACTCAGGATTGAAGGGCATCACCTAAAACAAAAATATTGACCTATTTCCACCAATAAATTAGACAAATTCTTACCTTATTGCCATCTGGTTTACGAGGATTTCGGCAACCTTTACATTTACAATCTATACAGGATTTAGATCCAGCATAACATGGACACCTCTGTCCACAACAGGTCAATGGTCCAGGAGTTGAAGTAGCATTACCACAGCGACATCCTTTTTTCAATATTACATATTGTTTTTTGATAGGAGCCTATAAATACCAACAATTAAAATTGACAATCTAATCCAAAGCTTAGAAAAATGTTTTATTGAAAAATATTTTTGAAGGGTGAAACAACATGGCTGATTTCCACATACTAATCCGATCTAGTGTTAAAGGAATGACCCTAGTGTGATTTGAGTTTATAGCCTATGGCCTGCTTGACATTATAAAGTGTTTAAAATCGGTTTTGTACGATTTTCCGTCAAACCCTGGCTTGTGAAAGTAATTTAAACTCTACCTTAAGTTTTGCACACGGACATTTGTATGCCTTGTAGAAGCCTTTAAAATAGTAAAACCATCGGAAGAACCTTGAGTAAAACTTAAGAATACCAATGGGAGACTTGTGCAAACAACATTTTTCACTGTTGTATCCTAGTGTTTTTTTTTTCAGGTAATTTTGCTTCTGAAATTTTTTGATAAAACCCTCGATAAAACCACCGTCATCAAAAAACTCCATGGTGAAATTGCAAAGAACCAAACTTTCAATCCAATTGAAAAATCTTATTCTTAACTTTTTCCCTGTGGTATTAGTATGTAAATATTACTTAATAGAAAAAATTGAGATTCAAATTCCAGTAAACTTCAGCTATAAGCATGCATAAAAATGTATAGGTAAGTTCAGAGATAAGTATACTCGTAAGTATACCAAGTAAACATGAAATTTCGTAATTGAAAAATGTATACCCCGGCCATGAAGTGGCAACCTTTAAAAAATATCATAATTACCTTTCCTGTTGCCTCCTTTGCTTTCACAACATTGTTTGCTGCTGATGTGCTTTCAGAAAATGGAACAGGAACAGCCTCGAGAACAGCCAGAGGAGTTGGAATACTCTTGTAACTAATATTTATATTTCCAGACTCAGGTTTTATCTCGGGTTTCACCACAGAATGTAAATCTAATTTAGTACTATTATTCTGGGTAGAGTTTGTATAAATACATGGTAAAATAGAATATTTAGACTTTGGTATACCACCTTCGCTTTCATAAGTATTTTTAAGTATTGCTCCTTCTTGTATAAGCTGTATCAAATTACTCGCCCCACTTTCAAAACCTGTACCTGGTTCACGTGCTTGTTTTTCCATACATTTGAAAATTTTGGCATTAATAAGATGTAAACACATCTTTTTATATAGTTGTAGGAGGATTCGCAAACTTTTGTTTTCTTTGTATTCACAACCATCTTTACAGTTCTCACAGCGCGGTTTTATTCTCTTTCGGCCTCCTCTACAACTGCTACATAAATGATGAGCACATTGGGCATTTTTGGGGGTAAGGGGGTCTACAAGTAATACTGTACATACCACACAACACAAAGAATTTCTGAGATAGGGTATAAGTCTATACAAATCTTTCCAAGATTCTGGATCTCTTGGGTCTGATTTTAGGATTATTTGCGTTGTGGTTGCATAGAGATTCGATGAATTCATTTTGGTTTGGCTTCTAGTCTTTTCTGATTCTGATGCCAATGCTACGCGAGACATATTTTGATTGCCGAGTAATTTCAGGTAGCTTAGGACTAGACTAACTACTACTGGATATGGGGCCGATTTCCCCAAACTCCCCAAATACAAATAACTAGTTATTTAAATTTTAATTTTATTTTTGTTTTGTATAAGTCAATGTCAATTAACATCAACAAATCAAGGAACTTCATTTGTCGAATGTCTGTAGCCGCCTTCCACTGAGGCTTTTGAGCACGCAATCGAGCTTTTGCGCGCGCGAATGCTTGAAGCGCGTGTTCGTGTTCCAGCCCTACTGCGCTTCGAGAGCTGCTAACTTTTGCGTTTCAAACACAGAACACTGTGCTGCACCGTGCTTGAAGCACACAGCTGGAAAGCGGCTTCTGTCAAGTCAATTGTTAAGGCCGTTTTACAGCTTGCAAGAAAACTTGAATGCAATTTTTTTGCTCAAGATTTCTTGCACGTCGTTTTACACCTTGCAATTTGACTTGTTTCTTTCTCTAATCTTAACCATACTTTTTTGTTTTTAATTGTTGTGTTGCTGATGTTTGCATTTTCCAAAAATAAAAAGTGATTATAAGTCGATATAAAAAGAAGAAAGCAATAGCAGCAACTTTAAGCATCATAATTGCTAAAAATTCCTCAGCTTGCACGAAAGCCTTCAAGAAAAATGGCACCAAACCGATTGCAAGCAATGCCATTCAAGTTTGAAGAATCTTGCAGAAACCAATTAGCTGACTCACTTCTGCGCATGCCCTCGTTCAAGTTTCTTGCATCTTGCAGATAGAATTGCAAGCTGTAAAACGGCCTTAAAGTTTCTCACAAAAGTTCTTTTCACGTGGCTCCGGTTTAACTAACCGGGCTACAAAACGGTTAAAGAAATGACATACCGTTTTCTAACCCGGTTACAAAGTGACGTGACGGATACCCAAGGATGATACACACTACTAAGGATGGCTTATCCTCATAAGGCCTGTGTGTAACAAATCCCCCCCTACCCCGCCTAGCCAAAAAATCAGTTGTGACGTAAACATCATGGCGTTTTTCGTCTTGACGTAGGCTGTTTGCACCACAGGTTATGTTATGATCTGGCTGCTGGCTGGAAATTATGGAACTAGTTTCTAGTATAATTAAAGTCTAAAATTATAAAATTATATCAGATACATATAATCATGACTTTTAATCATTACTGTTGTGTTCCTCAATGCAAGTCTTGGGGTAAAAAAAAAAGCTGACAAAGGATTGAGTTTCTACATATTTCCCCTTGAAACAGGCCCACGGGTTTATTTGGAAACGAAAATGGAAAAAGAAGTGTCGAGAAGAAAAGCCTTCTGGATTTTAAAACTTCGTATTGGCAAACCAGTCACCAAATTCATGAAAGTGTATTCTCTGCATCTCAATTAAGCAAGAATTTTGTGTTAAGGTAAACAAGCATAATGGATAGTTTTGTGGTTTTGTGCCCTAGCTTCATTTTAGGCCTGCTTCTAGGCATTTATCAAGTACTATCTATTTTTAAAATGTTTTGTTTGAAAATATTGACTGTTTTTATTATTTACAGGTGAGAGTACAGGTCTTAGGGCGGGTATTATAAAACTGCTTTGACAGTTAACTTTTTGAATTACATGTAATTCCAGAAGTTAACTTTAAGTTAACTCTCAAAGTAGTTTTATAATACCCACCCTTAGAGGTACAGGTAGAGGTCGGATATTGAAAAAAACAGTTGTACCATCCCAGAATTTGCCCTCTTCAAAAAATAGATTCCAATGGGTGCTGAAAAACTTGCCGAAAGAAAAAGAAATCAAGATTCTAGTGAGACTGATACAAGTAATGAATGTAGTTATACTTTTAATCAATTATGAAACTCTTCTCAGATAGGCATACAAATGGCCGAGCAAACAGCAGAACGTGTAAAGTGTTTATTAAATCCTAATTACCAGTATTATATTATAGGTAGTTCGAGTAAAAATCAGATTTGTGGTCAAGTTATTTGACTTTGTTAATTTAATTTTCACCTATTTATAAATAAAAATAAAGAGTTATTTATAAAATGTTTATTTATTTATTACACATACAAGTTATTCAAATACAGACATTATAAGGGAGATCCATACCAGCCTTGAGACCCTTTTGGCAATGTCCTATTGTAGAAAGTTTACAAAAATATAAGAAAAAGATCCGGTTAGGCTGTTGTATAGATATAATCATTTCGGGTCAGATAAACGAAATAGATTATAATGAATTTTGGCCTGCATCATTATGGGTGAAAATTATTACCCAGTGTGAAACTTTCGAGAACAGTGAATAAATAAGTCGATATTGCATTTGCAGCACATTGTTCTTCCTCGGCTGCTACAGTTTTGACCACCACATCGTTTTTTTTACGTTCAGGAAAAGTGTTTCAATAATGATGCAGTCCATAATACCTTATATCATTATTGACTCAAAAATCACTTGCTGCAGCCCGAAGCATATTCTCCTGTAGCGCAAGGTGGTACTTTATATTTCCTCGGGTATGTCTGAAAATAAAAATAAGGTTAAAATTGTATGATTTCCCAAAAAATTGTTAATACTCTACCTGTGATATATTTTCCATTCGAATAAACAATTTCTGCACTAGCACAAAAGTTGCCTAGTAGATAAGTCAAAACCACGTTCCTCATCTGCTGAATCTTAGTCAGTGAGCTCTTTGCTTTCTCTGTGGGCTCGATATATTATGCCATCAACATTTTCATTATCATAAGCAGTATTCAAAGCTTCCTGATAGCTAATTCCACAAACAAAATGTAAGTACAGCTAAAAATGTTAGCTTCTGCCCAGGCCCATATGCCATATGGGACAGTAATATTTACAAGAATATAATACATAAACAAACAATTTATGCTCGAATAGGAATATGTTATAATAATATGAGAAAACCCTAAAAACAATTAAATAGTATAGAATAAATTATCTTATAGTTATTATACTTACATAAAGAAATGTAAACAAAACGCCGCGTAATTCTCCTAGGGCTCCATTAAATCATACATGCTGAAAACGTGTAAATAGGCGGAATGACGAAAGCTAGCCAGATATCGCGCTACTGGTTCCATCATAGCATAGGGTACCTTTACCCGCTATAATGGTTAATCAAAATCAAAATAAAATATTTTTCATGACAAATTATAAATTTATAAAACCGCTGGCGCAAACAGCTGGCGACTTTGTTATGACGTCAGCAGTGGTTAGAAACAGTTGAAAACCAATATGGCGGCAATTACCCAAAAAGGGGCCGATAAGCACTCCTTAGTAAGTTTATTCTCCTTGATGGATACCTACCACTCGAATTTGAGTGTTGGGGTTTGTTAAACCGGAGCCACGTGAAAAGGGTTAAAGGCGCGTTCGCACTTCATTTGTTAATTTTAAGCTTCGTACAGACTTCAACATTACGCCGAACAACGAACAGAACAACAAACAACGAACCGAACGACGAACGAAACACTAATGTAGGAGGTCGGGGATTCTAAAATCACGATTCGACACACGATTCGATAACGAGACGATTTTTCCGACGATTCTAGGTTAGAATCTCATTAAAATCATACCTTTCGAGACGACAGGGCCGGTATCGTTGTGGAGTCGTGTGTCGAATCGTGATTTTAGAATCCCTACCCACAGGGCACAGGGCTTCGAACGGCCAGGATTTGCGAACCTGCAAAAGCGTTCGCAGCCCCGTCCACATTAGTATAGTGTTTTGTTCGTTGTTCTGTTTGTTGTTGGGCGTAATGTTCAGGTCTGTACGAAGCTTGAGGATAACACAATATGGCGGTGTGGGGAGCCTTAAAAACATTAAATATGTAGTGATTATTGGACTGGTGGTAAAAGAAGGATGTTCACTCCTGTTACCACATTACAAACATTTTTACAGCCCTCAACAATGAATTGGAATGGAAAACCTACCAACTCTTTACAGAACAAGTATTCGAAAGCACAATTCGAATACAATTTTAAAATAAATAATTCTGAGGTACTTACATTACCATCCTGCGCGTATCCACATATGAGGCGGTCGCTTCAAAAAGTGAAATACGCGAAAACTTGGGGAAAAAATTTCTGCCCAACTCCGACATTTGACAGCGGACGGTGAGGCTGACGGTGAATATAAACGATGGAATATGGAATCCTATATTTTTAACTTCAGAACACAGGCGCAAACGGTAACGGAATCGTAACGTCAAGTTTATATGGGCCTTGAAGCACGATGTACTATACGTTCAATTGAAAGCAATGGTCGTATTCGTATTCGATCACACTACACCCTCACGGCACCGTCACGCTACCATTCCGTGCCGCTAAGATATCTCGAGATTTGACGTGTTGTTGACGGTACGGTGTTGTGACGTGACGGTGCCGGTACGTATAGTATGAATCGCGCTTTACGCAGTACTTCCTTGCCTAGCTTGCGTTCGGTACAGTGACTCTATTACCCACAGTGGCGACAATTGCTGTCTTATTTTTGATTGGTTCTAAAATCCCATATATTTATATTGAGAACGCGGCCATCTTGTTCCCATCTATTTCTTATTTCAAATATGAATATATGGGATTTGGGTGAACATCCATCATAAAACATGGAAACAACGTATTTGATGGACCTAATAATAGTCATCAAATACGTCGATTTCAATTTTTTATGAAAGATGTCCATTTAAAACCTATAAATTCATATTTAAAAGTAACATGAGGTTGGGAACAAAATGGCGGCGGGACCTCTATTGTCGCCACTGTATGTAAAGGTTTATTTAGCCACTGTAGCGTTCGGTATTAAGCCTAGTACTCATAACCGCGAAATTCGCTCTTTTTTGACATTGCTTCGACAATTTGACGTTTGATTCACGCATAAAACGTCAAATTGTCGAAGCAATGTCAAAAAACAGCAGAATTTCGCTGTTATGAGTACTAGGCTTTATGCTCAAAGAGTAGAGCGTGCTGAAGCCAAGCCGTAATCACGTGAACATGAGTCTGCACGGAGCACACTATTCAAATGAACGAACGTGAAATTCAAGGTCGGAGAACTTAGAGCCGTTTTCTCGCGTTCAATTTTTTGACATTGGATCAAAACCAGTTTGAAACAGTCATGGAAACACCATTGCCCGTTTCAAACCTGTTTTTAACCAATGTTAAAAAAGTGAACGCGAGAAAACGGCTCAGATCAAAATACCGAACGCACGGTTAGTATCTAGTCAGTCGTCGTTTATAAATTGCAGATTGTCCGAAACCTTTTAGACACCTGCACTTGGTTTCG